TGAAAGTTCTTTTCTTTAAGGATGTTGAATATTGGCCCCCAGTCTCTTCTGGCTTGTAGGGTTTCTGCTGAGAGATCTGCTGTGAGTCTAATGGGCTTCCCTTTGTGGGTAACCCGACCTTTCTCTCTGGCTGCCCTTAGAATTTTCTCTTTCATTTCAACCCTGGTGAATCTGACAATTATGTGCCTTGGGGTTGCTCTTCTTGAGGAATATCTCTGTGGTGTTCTCTGTATTTCCTGGATTTGAATATTGGTCTGCCTTGCTAGGTTGGGGAAGTTTTCCTGGATAATATCCTGAAGAGTATTTTCCAGCTTGGATTCATTCTCTTCATCACATTCAGGTACACCTATCAGACGTAGATTAGGTCTTTTCACATAGTCCCACATTTCTTGAAGACTTTGTTCATTCCTTTTTGCGCTTTTTTCTCTGTTCTTGCCTTCTCTTTTTATTTCATTGAGTTGGTCTTCGACCTCTGATATCCTTTCTTCTGCTTGGTCAATTCGGCTGTTGAAGCTTGTGCATGCTTCACGAAGTTCTCGTGTTGCGTTTTTCAGCTCCATCAATTCACTTATTCTCCTCTCTATGCTGTCCATTCTCGTCAGCAGTTCGTCCAATCTTTTTTCAAGGTTCCTATTTTCTTTGCGATGGGTTAGAACATGTTCTTTTAGCTCATTGTAGTTTCTTACTACCCATCTTCTGAAGTCTGATTCTGTCATTTCATCACCCTCCTTCTCCATCCGGTCTGGTTCCCTTGCTGGTGAGGAGTTGTGATCCCTTTTAGGAGGAGAGGTGTTCTGGTTTCGGGAGTTTTCATCCTTTTTACGCTGGTTTCTACCCATTTTTGTGGGTTTATCCACCTGTTGTCTGTCTCTGTCCCAGGGAGTTGGAGCTTTATGAGTTTCCGTTGCACTACTGCCTTTTTTGATTTTTTTTTTTTTTCAGGTCGGACCCGCCCAGCTAGCAGCACGCCTAGCCTCTGCCTGCCCGCAGGGGCTTTGCTGAGCTGCTGTGGGCTCCGCCCAGCTGCCCTGAGCTCTTCCCTGTAGTCCTTTTTATATGGGTGTAGTTAGAACTGTCTGGGCAATGGTGGCCCCGCCTCTGTTATGGGGGACTCTCTCTGTTGTGGCAGGTTGCCTCGGCAACGGCGGGTTGCCTCGGCAACGGCAGCCTGCCTCCGTAGCGGTGGAGAGTCTCAGTAATGGCGGAAGCCCCTCCCCCACGGAGCCGGACCGTCCCTGTTCAGCTGTGCTTGGTTTGAAGGGCTCAACCCAGAGGGTTTCCAATTACTGTTTTTGTTTTCGTTGTTGTTGGGGGTGGAGGGGTGGGACCAACCGAGCCTGATCACCTGGCTCCCTGACTCAGAGTCTTTTCTTTTAAGTTGAACGACCCCGCGTTCCGGTCGCTTGTTGAAAAGGCGCCGGGATCTCCCGTGCTGCGACTCACGGAGTCGGCTCGAACCGCGGCGCCGGCTCCTGGCGGATTTTTTGCCTAGGAATCTCCTGGCCTGACTCGCTATTTCAGATGAATGGGCTATTCTGCCGTCTCAAGGCTCTGCTCGCCAGCTAAGAGGGCTCCCAGACCAGTGGCTTTTTTACGGAGAACGGCAGCAACAGGGAGTGGTCACAGCAGCCGCGTGGGCGGAATCAGCCCCGCGGGGGCCAGAACAGCCGCACCGGCTGGGACTGCGACGCTGGCGACCCCTCTGCCTGGGTATCTCCTGGTCTGTGGGCAATAAGAGTTCGTCTGGAAATACGGCGTCCACTCACCCTCTGCACTTTCACTGGGAGCTGAAGTCCTGAGCTGTTCTTAGGTGGCCATCTTGAAAGTCCTCCCTTCCCATTTTTCTTTCAACATCTAATCTGTATAAGCATTTGGAATATGTGCAACAGTATCATTAATATGATTGGTAAATTATCATAGTAATATAACTCTTCCAGGATTATGTAAAGAACACTTTAATAAATGGATTCTTTCTGTACTTTTTGCAAATTTCTGAAGTATGACAGGACTTTTAAAACTGTAAAGCACCGGCTGGGCTGTTGGTTCACACCTGTAATCCCAGAACTTTGGGAGGCTGAGGTGGGTAGATCACTTGAAGTCAGGAGTTCGAGACCAGCCTGACCAACATGGCAAAACCCCATCTCTACCAAAAATACAAAAATTAACCAGGCGTGGTGGTGCACCCCTGTAATCTCAGCTACTCAGGAGGCTGAGGCAGGAGAATCACTTGAACCTGGGAGGCGGAGGTTGCAGTGAGCCGAGATCACACCACTGTACTCCAGCCTGGGTGACAGAGTGAGACTCTGTCTCAAATAAATAAATAAATAAACAAACAAACTCATAAATAAACTGTGTCTCAAATAAATAAAATAAAACTGTAAAGCACCATAAAAAGTTACGTATCAACTGCAGAATCATATCACTGTGTCATTTATGCTAGAGAAAACTTCAGAAGATGAAAACCAAACATAATGATGTTGTAGAGCTAAAAAGATTCTCACAAACCTTCTAGTTGAATCCACTTATCTTACAAGTTAGGAAACTGAGAGGTTTTTTCCCCTCAAGAAAATTTAATCTTGCTGTGTTGCCCAGACTGGACTTGCACCCCTGGGCTCAAGCTATCCTTCAGCCTCAGCCTCTGAAGTAATGGATACTACAGGCAGGACGCATTCTGCCTAGCTCAGGAAAGCTTAAGTGGAATTGCAGTAGCACTCTAATCTGTTTTGCATGCATTGCTTTAGATACTAGAAAAATAGAAACAGTGTATTCTCGTGTTTTGAAAATAATTCTTCTGTGTGGTGTAGACTAGTGCTTCTTGTTCCTTTTCAGAAAACAGATACAAGTTATGAGGTAACATTTAACCTTATTGTACAAACTGAGATTTAGCATCTAATCATATGTTCAATGAGAAACTTAACTAAAATGACACATTTTAAACCAATATAAAATTGCAAGTCAGAGCATTAAAAAATCTAAACAATTGAATCTAGCCTTGATCAACTGTTTCCAAGTTTTCTATCCATACTCAATTGCTATTTATACTTTTAAATTGTGGTAGATAAGTAATAGTGTGGAAAAGGTTTAAAAGCAATCTTTAGAAGAAATACTTAAAATTGAACAAATTCTGTTTGTTAGTTTACATTTTTCTACGTGCACATCAAAGAAAGGCCATTGTTACTTAATTCTGGCAGAACAGTTTGAGAAGCACTTTGCATGGATATTTTTCACTAATTTCCCCCTTTCTGAACTATGTAAGCATTTGTTCTCTATTTGATGAATGTTTATGGGCACTTTCATTTATATACCTCTGTCCATGTGGAATGCTGTGGTCTCTCCCTCTCAGGGCTTAGAGTTAGTCTTGGATAAGATAAGTAATAAACTTGTTGATAGTACTTCTCTGTTACATTGTGCAAAGAATATATTAGGCCGATTTAATTTGTGGATGTGAAAATACGTTTTTGTATGCATATGCATAGGGAATATGTTATTTTATTTTAAACATTCAAAGTATTACTTGACATTTTTTAATTTTAATTTTTTTTTTTTTAACACAGTCTCATCCTGTTGCCCAGGCTGGAGTGCAGCGGTGCAATCTCAGCTTACCGCAGCCTCCCCATCCCAGGTTCTAGCAGTTCTTCCACCTCAGCCTCCGGAATAGCTGGGACTACCAGTGGGTGCCACCATACCTGGGGCTAGTTTTCTTTTTTTCTTTTTCTTTCTTTTCTTTTTTTTTTTTTTGGAGACAGAATTTCACTCTTATTGCCTAGGCTGGAGTGCAATGGCACAATCTTGGCTCACCACAATCTCCCCCTCTCAGGTTCAAGCTATTTTCCTGCCTCGGCCTCCCAAGTAGCTGGGATTGCAGGCATGTGCCACCATGCCTGGCTAATTTTGTATTTTTAGTAGAGACAGGATTTCTCCATGTTGGTCAGTCTGGTCTCGAACTCCCGACCTCAGGTGATCCACCCGCTTCGGCCTCCCAAAGTGCTCCTGAAGTGCTGGCGTAAGCCACCGTGCCTGGCAGTTTTTTTATTTTTTGTAGAGACAAGGTTTTGCCTTGTTGAACAGGCTGGTTTCCAACTTTTTTTTTTTTTTTTTGAGACAGAGTTTCACTCTTGTTACCCAGGCTGGAGTGCAATGGCGCAATCTCGGCTCACTGCAACCTCTGGCTCCTGGGTTCAAGCAGTTCTTCTGCCTCAACCTCCCAAGTAGCTGGGACTACAGGCTAATTTTTGTGTTTTTAGTAGAGACGGGGTTTCACCATGTTGACCAGGATGGTCTCGATCTCTTAACCTCGTGATCCACCCACCTAGGCCTCGCAAAGTGCTGAGATTATAGGCGTGAGCCACCGCGTCCGGCCATTTCCAACTCTTGACCTCAAGTGATCCACCAGCCTCAGCCACCCAAATTGTTGGGATTACAGGTGTAAACCATCGTGCCCGGTCACATTTTAAGTTCTTAAAATGGAATCAGTCTTTTATAAATCATTTTGATCACTTGACATAATTTTTTAATGTGAAAAGTTGTTACTAAATTGGTGGTTTGTCTTTCAAGATGTTATTTTAGAATCAGGGCATTCAGGATATATGAAGCTATTATCTCATTTAATCCTCACAGCATCCCCGTTTTACAGTTGAAAAGTTAATAAATTGATGGTTTGTCTTTCAATAGATGTTATTTTACAATCGGGGCAGCAAAGTCATTTATCAGGCTAGTGCTAGATACTCCACATAGTTTATTTCATTTAATCTTCACAACATCCCCATTTTACAGGTGAGAAAAATTTAGTTTTAGATTAAACACTGATAGATTACTCACTAGCGGAACAATAAGAAGTTAAACTTCAAGTCCAGTGCGCTTTTCAACCTTCTGTTTATAAATTAGAGAACACCTGTGGAAAGTCCTATAGCTTAAGACTCAATACTTTAGTTAATACAAGTGATAGTGATAACTCATTTCATGTAAATATTTCTGATAGTTGGATATGTCTTTTCATACAGGAGAGTAAGTATAAGAATGACCATTGAACTACAATCAGTTTCTAATCCAGTTCACAGAAAGGTTGGTATTTAGTTCTTTTTTGAAATACCATTTTGGTACACGGTAGATAATTATTTTTGTTAAGAATGTGAGATATTTTATTGTATTCATTTTCCTTTTTAATTTTGGGCTGTTTTGTAACTTGCAAATCAAGGGTGATAGAGTCTACTGAGACAACAACTGAAAGATAATTATACCATATATTTCTTTCCTTTTTTTTTTTTTTTTTTTTTGAGACAGAGTCTCACTCTGTCACCAGGCAGATTGCAGTGGTGCAATCTCAGCTCACTGCAACCTCCACTTCCTGGATTCAAGCAATTCTCTTGCCTCTGCCTCCTCAGTAGCTGGGACTACAGGCGTGTGCCACCACGCCCAGCTAATTTTTGTATTTTATAGTAGAGACGAGGTTTCACCATGTGGCCAGGATGGTCTTGATCTCTTGACCTCATGATCTGCCTGCCTCAGCCTCCCAAAGTGCTGGGATTACAGGTGTGAGCCACTGTACCCAGCCTATGCCATATATTTCCAAAACATACAAGAATTAGATTTGCCTAGTGCACTTAAGTTGCTGGAAAATACACACAGATGCATATACACACACGCGCACACACACATACACACAGCTGCCTTCTAGAATCGGCATTTTATGGTGTAAATGTAAAAAGATAAACTGAAGTACTATAAGGAGATATTTGTGAATCTTTTACTTTACATTTTGAAGAGAGGCATTTAGAGTATTAGTCTCATATAACCTTCAGAAGTATGAGTCATTAACAGAACTAAGGATATAGAATAGAGCAGGGGTCCCCAACCCCCTGGCCACTTACCGGTATGGTTTCTGGCCTGTTAGGAGCTAGGCTGCACAGCAGGAGGTGAGTGGTAGGCAGATGAGCAAGCATTACCTTCTATGATCTGCCTCCTGTCAGATCAGTGGTGGCATTAGAGTCTCATAGGAGTGCAAACCCTATTGTGAACTGCACATGCAAGGGTTCTCAGTTGCATGCTTCTTATTATAATCTAAGTAATGCCTGATCTGAGGTGGAAGTTTCATCCTGAAACCATCCTTCACCCCCCAATTCTTGGAAATTGTCTTCTACACGATAGTTCTCTAGTGCCAAAAAGGTTGGGGACCATTGAAACAGAGGACTAAGAAATATAACATCTGTGCCAAGCACAGTGGCTCACATCTGTAATCCCAGCACTTGGGGTGGCTGAGGTAGGCAGATTGCTTGAGGCAGGAGTTTGAGACGTGTGGGCAACATGGTGAAATCCCATCTCTACAAAAATATATATATCTACACACACGCACACAGAGCTGAATGTGATGGCATACTCCTGTAGTTCCAGCTACTTGAGAGGCTGAGGTGGGAGGATCACTTGAGCTTAGGAGGTTGAGGCTTCAGTGAGCTGTGATGGTGCCACTGCAATCCAGACTGGGCGACAGTGTGAGACCCCATGTCGAAAGAAACACCAAATTACAGCATCTGTTTTGCCATAACTTTCCCTGAACACATTCAAGGACTTAATGGTATTAGTAGTACCTTTGGTTTTTAAAGTAGCATCCTGAGTGAATATCAGGAAGTACTTAAATGGAAGCTACTTAAAAACAAGTCATTCTGAGGCAGAGCAGGTGCCTGAATTGCTAATTTTCTGGAGTAAAGATTATAAATTGTACTTTATAATCTTTAGGACTTAGGACAGCATTTCCTAAGTAGCCATGAGTAGAGATTTTATTTCAAATGTATTCTTAACTTTAACATCTAGTTCTTTATTAGTTTTACAGCATCTTGTAAGTAATGCTGTTTTTCTTTCACCAGTGTTATCTGGTACATAATTTCGGCGTACTTTTTGTGAGCTTTAGCTGTTATGATGATCTCCCACACTGTGTACACTTAGCTACCTAGAAAGTGGTCTTTGTGAAAGGTACCTACTTAATTTGAGACTGAAAACAGATGGGGTTCCACATCAGTGGCCACCTGGCCTAGGAGAGAATAGGCCCTTTGGAAGAGGCCTGGCAGTGTGTCACCTGATACCCCTGTCCTCTAGCTGAGAGACAGAAGCTCCCTTTTGTCTAGTGTGGATTATTGTTTGTCAGTTCTGCTGATGTATTTGCCACGTTTAAAATGCCAGACCAGTTAATTTTAAGGGAAACTAAAAATTAATGTGGTATTTTCAGTGGTAAAGAAAATTTTCATTATCATGTTATGGTGTAGCAAGGACTGGGTCTAAATTTTCCCAAGCCTCTGGTAGGATCAGATACCTAAACTTTCAACTCCTAGCACTTACTTAACTTTTACAGATCTCCATGTAGTTCTCAAAGAACATTATGTCTACCCCTATTTAAGATTCTAACTCTCTAAAGACTAACAAACCAGCAGCACTACAAAACAGCTGTCTGCAATCTAACTATGATACATTGATGTTATTGGATCTTTTTACTTCTAAGAAGGAAGAAATTACTCAAAAAATAATTTTGAGTAATTTCTTCTTCCTCAAATATTTTTTGAGTAATTTCTTCTTACTCAAAAGTAATTACTTCTTACTCAAAAAGTAATCTAGTAAAAACATTTAAAAACAACAAACTTTCTTTTAGGACTTAGTTATTCGTCTGACTGATGACATGGATCCATTTTTTTTATATAACCTTGTTATATCTGAGGAAGATTTTCAAAGGTAACGAAATTTTTTTCTTATATTTAATAAAAGAATAAGTTTCTGAGTTTTATGAATGTATTGGTACCGTTCTCAAACACATACTTTGTATTAGATTTAGTTACTTTGGGAATATTGGGCTATTTGTACTATACTTAGGGTGTTTTGGAAAATATTTTGTGTATTATTAGAATTATGCTTAAAAAACCTGAGAAGTTTGAAGCTTTTGCTGAATTTATTGATCTTTTTTCCTGCAATTGAATAAGCTGTAAAAATATCAGAGTTCCTTATCTTAGTTCTTGATTATAACAAGTGTTAGTAAATTAAAAAAAAGAATCTTTCAGGATGCTAATTATAATTAAAGATAGTAATTGGCTGGGCTTGGTGGCTCAAGCATGTAATCCCAGCACTTTGGGAGGCTGAGGCGGGTGGATCATGAGGTCAGGAGTCCAAGACCAGCCTGACCAACATGGTGAAAGCCCATCTCTACTAAAAATACAAAAATTAGCCAGGTGTAGTGGTGTGCACCTGTAATCTCAGCTACTCAGGAGGCTGTGGCAGGAGAATTGCTTGAACCTGGGAGGCGGAGGTTGCAGTGAGCAAGATCTCACCACTGCACTCCAGCCTGCTAGACAGAGCAAGACTCTGTCTCAAAAAAAAAAAAAAAAAAAAGATAGCAATTAAATTTTTTAAAAATTTCTTTTCCTTTCTTCTGTATAGTTTAAAATTCCAGCAAGGTCTTCTGGTAGACTTCTTAGCTTTCCCACAAAAATTTATAGATCTCCTTCAGCAATGTACTCAAGAACATGCCAAAGAAATTCCAAGGTAAGTTGCATGAGAACACTACATTATTATATTTAATTCAAGACAGACTCTTCTTTGAAACACAATTTGACAGCAAAATATTTTCCATTTGTTATGAGTATCCCTATTTATTTTTAGAACTGGGATTGGGGCTCCATTAAATCTCAAATTTTAAGGAATCTTGATTAAAATCAGAACCATTGCTTAATTTTCATGTCTTGACAAAGGCACTAAAGTTATCTGAAGTATTTAATAGCATCAAGTATTTGGTTTTATAATCTTGGAAAAAGGGAAGACTAAGATTTTATGTGTGTGTGGCACTAGCGCCTGATTCTTTTATTGTAAAGTTCACCATCAACCTTTTATTTATTGGTTTCATCAGTTGATGATTGTTGTTGAATCAGTTATTTCATTAGAAGGAACAAAATGATGCTTTTCTATCATTTTTTTTCTATATTAAGCGTAATTCTTCTATAAAGAAGAACTTTTCCTCAGCAATTAGGGCTATTTGATTACTCAGAAAATTCATACAAAAAGGATAAATGCTTAATTCTTACATTTAAATTGTCGTTTTTTAGAGTAAAGAGCTGCTAGTCTACTTCTGTAGTACTCGGTGATTTTTGTTTTTAGTTTTTGCTTTTTCTCTCATTTGTTTCTCATGAACTCTTGGACTTTTATATAGTAGCTATGTTTTCAATGAATCTTTTCTTTTTTTTTTTTTGCCCAATTTATCTTATATTTTACCATTCGGAGTCCTTTCATATTGGCCCCTATGATTTCAATATGCTCCCTTGCCTGATCTTTCTGAGTAGAGAAGCTTTGATTCAGTGAGAGATTTTCACTATCTCCTAGTGTGTTATAATGTGACTTTTTTTTTTTAAAAGGTTTTTGCTACAGTTAGTTTCTCCAGCAGCTATTTTGGATAACTCACCGGCATTTTTAAATGTGGTAGAGACAAATCCTTTTAAGCATCTTACACACCTCTCACTAAAACTTTTACCTGGAAATGATGTGGAGATAAAGAAATTTCTAGCAGGCTGTTTGAAATGTAGCAAGGTAAGATTTAAATTTAAGTTATTATTTTAATAAAGTAAGTATCAATGGTCTTTGTTAAATTATTAAAGATACACAGTGCCATAAATTTTTGTTTTCTAAATAAAGTTTTATGACATATAATGAATTTATTGTTTTTTATTTAGTCAAGGTATGGTGGGGATGGATCTGGATCAGGAATTGAGAAGGTTAGGTCCCAGGGTTTTTATGTGTGACTTTGGACAGGTCACTAAACTGTTCTGTCTTGGTTTCATCAACTGGTAGACATGTATGGAAATAGCTACCCTATCTAGCCTGTCTTAAATGAGATAAGATAAATGGAAATGTCTTGAAAATTACAAAATGCTGTATGGCACAAGGAAACAACAAAGGGATGCTGCTTGAGTTTTTAGAGACTTTCTAGTCAAATGCTATAGATCGGTGCATCTCAAACTTTAAATTATCTGGGGATCTTGTTAAAATGATTTAGGTCTGAGATGGAGCCTGAGAATCTGCATTGCTAATGGGCTTCCAGGATGATGCTATACTTTTGAGTAGCATGGCTACAGATGATTACATTGAAAACTGTAATTTTGTTGTTTTTATGAATAGGAAGAAAAATTATCACTGATGCAATCACTAGATGATGTTACTAGGCAACTGGACTTTACACAGCAGGTAATTCCGATTTCATTTTGTCTTTGTAAGTCATCCAGACATTGGCGTTGAATTGCTTCTTGACTCAGTTCCAAGCTTTTATGTATTTTCTTTCAAAGCATGCTTCCATTGAATTTCCTCTCCTCTTTGCCACCTTTCATCTATCACTTAATTATCTAAACCGATGCTTTCTCTTGCACATGTTTATTTGCACAAACATTTCTGTATCCCTAATATGTAACATGTTCCCTCAAGTCTTCATTAAATAAGATAGGTATTTTTCTGTCACATAGTAGTTCTCCATTCCCCACTTACTCACCTTATTCCTCTGGCCTAAATGGCTTTTCAGTTCTCATCTTCTAAACCTTTCTCTTTCTTTGCTATGTTTAGAATTGATTCCTCTGATAGGCTTAGCATCATTTCAGTCATAGCTACCACATTTCTTCCCTAGTCTGTGAAATTCAAGGCCAGAGTATCTGTTTTAGCTTGTTCTTGCTTTGCTTTAAAGAAATATCTGAAGCTGGGTAATTTATAAAGAGATTTAAGGCCGGGCACGGTGGCTCATGCCTGTAATCCCAGCACTTTGGGAGGCCAAGGTGGGCGGATCACAAGGTCAAGAGATCGAGACCACCCTGGCCAACATGATGAAACGCCATCTCTACTGAAAAAAAAAAAAAAAAAAAAAAGAGATTTAATTGACTCATAGTTCTGTAGGCTATACAAGCATGGCACCAACATTTGCTTGGCTTCTAGTGGGGGGGCGTGAGGAAGTTTGCAATCATGGCTGAAGGTGAAGGGGAGTAGGCACGCCACATGGTTAGAATGGTAGGGAGGAGGTACCACATGCTTTTAAACAACCAGATCTCATATGAACTAACGAGTGAGAACTCAGCACCAAGGGAATGGCACTAAATCATTGATGAGGGACTGCTCCCGTGATCCAATCACCTTCCACAGGCCTTTCCTCCAATACTGGGATTACATTTGAACATGAGGTTTGGAGGGGACAGACATCCTAATCGTATTGCTATCTGATAATTTGCATGACTTCAGGCAGAAAATAGCCCTGTACAATGTGGCCCACAGGGCCATGTTAATTGGGTTTTATGTATAAGTGAACTATTCCTTATAATCGACTTGCTTTCTGCTACCCCTCTTTATTGGGTGGTAAAGAGCCAGATTTAATTAAAACCTTAATGATAGTTAACCTTAACCTGTGGGCCGTTTTGGGTCTAAGATTGCTTTTATTCTAGTGTTGATTTCCTGAAATTTAAAAATTTTGTGTTGGAAAAGGCTTTGAATATGTCCTGAAAAGCTATAGTTTTGCTTAATATCCTTGTAAATATTGCTATATGCTAATAAGTATTACATATTAAGGAGACTATCTTAATATTTTGTGTTAAACTTTAATGTAGACATTAATAGAAAAAAAACAAGAATTGGATAAGTTACGGAATGAATGGGCATCACACACAGCAGCCTTGACAAACAAGCATTCTCAGGAACTGACAAATGAAAAGGAAAAAGCCTTGCAGGTAACTGAAACATTTTTTATTGCTGTTGGTCATTTTGTTAATTTTAGAAGTAATATGTGCTTACTTTAAATTTTCCAAACGTTACAGAAGTATATAAAATAAAAATCAAAATTCTCTTTCAAAGTCTTACTACCTAGAGATAATCTAGAAACATTTTGATTTATTTTTTTCAGACTTCTCTCTATGTATACATAAATAATAAGTAATTTATAAATATTTGTTTATAAACTTATAACTCTGTAAATTATGTAATTTACTCTGTGTGTGTACCCATATAATGGGTTTTTGGTTTTGTTCTATACTAATGGGGTCTTATTGGATATATTGGTTGTAACTTTTTCTTCACTTAATGTAGTACCATTCTTTATCAGTTAAGATATTCCTTTTTAGGGGCTGCAGAGTATTCATTTTTTGGGTTTAACTTAATTTACTTAACTACTTGCCCAAATGGTCATTTAAATGCTTCAAAATTTTAGTTATTTTAAGCAGTACTGCAACAAGCACTCTTAGTATCTAGAAGTGAAACTACAACATATCCATGTAAAATATTGATGGATGCTGCAGATTTGCCACCCAAAAAGGTTGAACCAAATGGAATCCCAACGATAAGATAGTGTATAAGGATACTTATTGCCCCATATTCTTGACATTGTTTTTAACCTTCTTAATTCTTAATATTTGCCACCTGATCTTAGTGTTGTCCTAGTTTTAGTTTCTATTTCTTATATTTTTAGTGATGATAAGCATCTTTTAATTTAACTTTTTATCATTTTTATTCTATGGATATGTTTTATTGTCTTCTCCTCCCTTTTTCTATGTGATTGTTATTTTCTACTACTTTGTAGTATGATTTTCTTTTTTATCTTCATATTATAGCTTCTTTTTCTTTGAGACAGAGTTTCACTCTTGTTGCCCAGGCTGAAGTGCAATGGCACGATCTCAGTTCACTGCAACCTCCACCTCCCAGGATCAAGGGATTCTCCTACCTCAACCTCCTAAGAAGCTGGAATTACAGGCATGCGCCACCATGCCCAGCTAATTTTTTGTATTTTTTTTTTTTTTTTTAGACAGGGTTTTGCTCTTGTTGCCCGGGCTGGAGTGCAGCGGTGCAATCTCAGCTCACTGCAACCTCCGCCTCTCAGGTTCAAGTTATTCTCCTGCCTCAGCCTCCCAAGTAGCTAGGATTACAGGCATGTGCCACCATGCCTGGCTAATTTTTTGTATTTTTAGTAGAGGTGGGGTTTCACTATATTGGCCAGGCTGGTCTTGAACTCCTGATCTCAGGCGATCCACCCGCCTTGGCCTCCCACAGTGCTGGGATTATAGGCGTAAGCCACTGCGCCTAGCCAATTTTTGTATTTTTAGTAGAGATGGGGTTTCACCATGTTAGCCTGGCTGGTCTCAAACAGCTGAGCTCAGGTGACCTGCCCTCCTCGGCCTCCCAAAGTGCTGGGATTACAGGCGTGAGCCACTGTGTCTGGCTTATAGCTTCCTTAATATTACATTATATTTTTGTCTTTATGTGCTTTACTAGATGCTTGCTTTTAAGAGTACAGCTTGATTTTTTTGTAACTTTCACCCAAATTAAGATACAGAAATTGGATCAATATCTGTCATTAAGATACAGATATTGGACCTAACAGTAGTCCGTAAGAGGTTATCATACTTCTGACTTACATCATCATTCATTAGTTTTGCCAGTTCCTGAACTTTGTGTAAATGGAATCGTATATGTTTGTATGTGGCTTTCTTCACTCAGCATAGTATTTCTGAAATTCAACTATGTTCTAGTGTTACTTTTTATTATTATATGAATCTGTCATGATTTATCTATTTTCCTATTGGTAGGCATTTGTGTTGTTTCTGGTATTTTGCTGTTATTAGTTAAACTGCTGTGAACATTCTTGTACTTGTCTTTTTGTGGACACATGCACTTACTTTTCTTGGACATATATCTATTATTGGAATGGCTAGGTTGTAGTATAGACACAGGTTTAGCTTTAGTAGAAACTACCAGTTTCCCAAAGTAGCTATACCCATTTACACTGCCATTCTGTGGATGTGTAATAATGTCTCATAATAATGAACATTTCTTTATATGCATATTTATCACTTAGTCTCTTTTCACGTGCCCATTCAAGTTGTTAGCATGTTTAATTTGCCTGTTTTTGATTTTCAGGAATTCGTATATTCTAGACATGAGTCCTTTGTCAGATGTATGCATTGTGAATATTTTCTCTGTCTGTAGCTTGCCTTTTCCATTTTTTTTGGTGTAAATTAAGGATATACACCCTGTCTATCAGGTATATTATAAACATTTCTCCTGGCCTGTCATTAGCCAGCATCTTTTGCCATATATAGTTATTTTATTTGAATATCATTAAATCTGTCAGTCATTGCCTTTATGGCTTAAGGTTTCATTTTACATTTGGAAAGCATTTCCCACTCCAGGGTTATGAAAAATTCTCCTATATTAGAATATTTGTATCATTTTCTTGCTATATTTAGCTTTTTAGTTTATTTGGAATATAATTTTGTGCAGTCCAATATAAGGTTGAATTTTTTTTGACATATAGTCAGTCATTGTTCACCAGTGATTTAAAATACCACCCCTGTTATTTTACTTTTATTTTTTAGAGATAGGGTCTTGCTCTATTGCCTACGCTGGAGTGCAGTAGCACAGTCATGGCTCACTATAGCTTCAACCTCCTGGGCTCCAGCGATCCTCCTGCCTCAGCCTCCAAAGTAGCTGGGACTACAGGCATGTGTCACCATGCTGGCTGATTAAGTTTTTTGTAAAGATGGGGTTTCACTGTGTTGCCCAGGCTGATCTTGAACTCCTGGCCTCAAGTAATCCTCTTGCTTGGCTTCTCAAAGTGTTGAGATTATGGGCATGAGCCACTGTACCCAGTACTACCTTTATTACATACTAAATTTCTTTATGTACTTGGGCTTGTCTCTGAACTGTTGTTAAGAACTGATCTCATTTTCTTATTCAGTGGAGAGCTATATCTCTTCATTTATTAAGATCTTATTTGTTGAAAACAGACTTTATTTACTCTTTATCTCCTGTTTTCTGTTTTTTCTTTTTCTTTTGTAGTCTTGTTAAACAATGTTTTTGCCTAGGGACTTTACAGATTTTTACTGTGTAAATAAGACCATCTACTCTACCAGTACCACTGTGGTTAGATTTATAATTGTTTATCACTAGTGTATATTAATGTTATATCCAGCCACCTTACTAAATTTACATACTGTTTCTAAGAGTTTTGGAGTTGATTCTCTTAGGCTCTCCAGGTAGATATATAAACTATAAAAAATAGTAATTCTTCTCTCCCTAATATTTGTGTTCTTTTTTTCTTGTACAGAAAAGTGCAGAATAGTAGTGGAATCTTTATCTTGTTTTAGTCTTTTTTGGTGAATAATTAAAATATCTCACCATTAAATATGATGTTTACTTTGCATTTGAGAGAGAGAGTTTTCTTACTTTCTTCCTGAGAATTTTAATTCAAAGAGTGCTAAGTCAGGTGAAATTAGTTTTGAGGATCTAACCAAATAATTATATTATTTTTTCCCTTTAATAATGTAATAAATTATAACAATAGATTTCCAAAGGTGGAATCATCTTTGAATTCATAGAATAATACTTAAATAGTCATAGGGATTTTTAATAAACTACTGTATCAGTTTGCTAATATTTAACTTGCAATGTTTGTATTTTTATTTATTTTTAGAGACAGCCTTGCTCTGTTGCTCAGGCTGAAGTGCAGTAGCGCAGTCAAGGCTCACTGCATCTCAATCTTCCCGGCTCAAGCAATCCTCCCACCTCAGTCTTTGGAGTAACTAGGACCACAGTCAGGCCCCCAGGCCTAGCTAATTTTTTTTAAGAGATGGGGTCTCACAGTGTTGCTCAGGCTGGTCTCAATCTCCTGGCCTCAAGTGATCCACCCACCTTTGTCTCCTGAAGTGCTGGGATTACAGGTATGAACCACAATGCGTGGCCCAGGATGTTTGTGTTTATACTCATGACATTGGTCTGAGATTTTCTTTCCTGCACTTCTTGGTTTGCTTATGGCAATTATGGGTTATAGACTATGGTATTAGAATTATGCTAGCCTCATAAGAACATTTTTCAGTTTTCTTTATTCTTTGAAATAGTAAAATAACAGGGAATTAATCTGTACCTCGAAGGCCTGATACAAGTAGTCTTTTAACATCATTTGGATCACACATCTAGCTGAAGCATTTATCTTTTTCTTTTCCAGTTTTCTCCATGATTATTGCTCTGTTTGAACATTCTATTTTTTCTATTTTTTAAATATATATTTTATTGCGTTTTAGGTTTTGGGGTACATGTGAAGAACATGCAAGATTGTTGCATAGGTACATACATGGCAATGTGGTTTGCTGCCTTCCTCTCCATCTCCTATATCTAGCATTTCTCCCCATGTTGTCCCTCCCCAACTCCCCACTCCCTGCTGTCCCTCACGTAGTTCCCCCCCAACAGACCCCAGTGTGTAGTGCTCCCCTCCATGTGTCTATGTCTTCTTATTGTTCAACACCCACCTATGAGTGAGAACATGCAGTGTTTGATTTTCTGTTCCTGTGTCAATTTGCTGAGAATGATGGTTTCCAGGTTCATCTGTGTCCCTACAAAGGACACGAACTCATCGTTTTTTATAGCTGCATAATATTCCATGGTGTATATGTACCACATTTTCCCTGTCCAGTCTATCATCAATGGGCATTTGGGTTGGTTCCAAGTCTTTGCTATTGTGAACAGTGCTGCAGTAAACATGCATGTGCATGTGTCCTTATAATAGAACACTTTATAATCCTTTGGATATATACCCAGTAATGGGATTGCTGGGTCAAATGGAATTTCTATTTCGAGGTCCTTGAGGAATCGCCACACTGTCTTCCACAATGGTTGAACTAATTTACACTCCCACCAACGCTGTAAAAGTGTTCCTATTTCTCCACATCCTCTCCAGCATCTGTTGTCAGATTTTTTAATGATCGCCATTCTAACTGGCATAAGATGGGATCTCAGTGTAGTTTTGATTTGCTTTTCTCTAATGACCAGTGATGATGAGCATTTTTTCATACGTTTGTTGCCCTCATGTATGTCTTCTTTTGTAAAGTGTCTGTTCATATCCTTTGCCCACTTTTGAATGGGCTTGTTTGTTTTTCTCTTGTAAATCTGTTTTAATTCTTTGTAGATTCTGGATATTAGCCCTTTGTCAGATGGGTAGATTGCAAAAATTTTTTCCCATTCTGTTGGTTGCCAATTCACTCTAATAATTGTTTTGCTGTGCAGAAGCTCTGGAGTTTGATTAAGTCCCATTTGTCTATTTTGACTTTTGCTACCAGTGCTTTTGGTGTTTTAGTCATGAAGTCCTTGCCTACACCTATGCCCTGAATAGTTTTGCCTAGGTTTTCTTATAGGGTTTTAATGGTGTTATGATTTATGTTTAAGTCTTTAATTTGGAGTTAATTTTAGTGTAAGATGTCAGGAAGGGGTCCAGTTTCTGCTTTCTGCACATTGCTAGCCAGTTTTCCCAACACCTTTTATTAAACAGGGAATCCATTCCCCATTGCTTGTTTTTGTCAGGTTTGTCAAAGATCAGATGGTTGTAGGTGTGTGGTGTTAGCTCTGAGGCCTCTGTTCTGTTCCATTGGCCTATATCTCTGTTTTGGTACCAGTACCATGCTCTTTTGATTACTGTAGCCTTGTAGTATAGTTTGAAGTCAGGTAGCGTGATGCCTCTGGCTTTGTTCTTTTTGCTTAGAATTGACTTGGCTATGTGGGCTCTCCTTTGGTTCCATATGAAGTTTAAGGTGGTTTTTTCCAGTTCTGTGAAGAAAGTCATTGGTAGCTTGATGAGGGATTGCATTGAATCTCTAAATTACTTTGGGCAGTATGGCTATTTTCACGATATTGATTCTTCCTAACCATGAACATGGAATGTTTTTCCATCTGTTTGTGTCCTCTCTTATTTCGTTGAGCAGTGGTTTGTAGTTCTCCTTGAAGAGGTCCTTTCCATTCTTTGTTATTTGTATTCCTTGGTATTTTATTCTCTTTGTAGCAATTGTGAATGGCAGTTCATTCTTGATTTGGCTCTCTTTAAGTCTGTTATTGGTGTATAGGAATGCTTGTGATTTTTGCAGATTGATTTTGTATCCTGAGACTTTGCTGAAGTTGCTTATCAGTTTCAGGAGATTTTGGGCAGAGACGATGGAGTCTTCTAAATATACAATCATGTCATCTGCAAATAGAGACAATTGGACTTCCTCCTTTCCTATTTGAATACCTTTATTTCTTTTTCTTGCCTAACTGCTCTGTGTAGAACTTCCAATACTATATTGAATCGGAGTGGTGAGAGAGGGCATCCTTGTCTAGTGCCAGATTTCAAAGGGAATGCTTCCAGTTTTTGCCCATTTAGTATGATATTGACTGTTGGTTTGTTGTAAATAACTTTTATTATTTTGAGATATGTTCCGTCAGTACCTAGTTTATTGAGAGTTTTTAGCATAAAGTGTGTTGGATTTTGTCAAAGGCCTTCCCTGCATCTATTGAGATAATCATGTGGGTTTTGTGTTTGGTTCTGTTTATGTGGTGGATTACATTTATGGACTTGCATATGTTGAACCAGCCTTGCATCCCTGGGATGAAGCCTACTTGATTGTGATGGATAAGCTTTTGGATGTACCATTGCAATCAGTTTGCCAGTATTTTATTGAAGATTTTTGCATCTATGTTCATCATGGATATTGGCCTGAAGTTTTCTTTTCTTGCTGAGTCTGTGCTGGGTTTTGGTTATCAGGATGATGTTTGTCTTATAAGATGGTTTGGGAAGGGTTCCCTCTTTATGAATTGTTTGGAATAGTTTCAGAAGGAGTGGTACCAGCTCCTATTTGTATGTCTGGTAGAATTCGGCTGTGAACCGATCTGGACCTGGGCTTTTTTTTGGTGGGTAGGGTATTAATTGCTGCCTCAACTTCAGACCTTGTTACTGGTCTATGGAGGGTTTCAACTTCTTCCTGGTTTAGGCTTGGAAGGATGCAAGTGTCTAGGAATTTATCCATTTCTTCCAGATTTTTTTTTCTTTATGTTTACACTTATTTCTCATGTTTTCATTATACCTCCACTTAAAAAAAATACGCTGAGTAATTTTAATTGTTTCTGCACTAATTTCTTTGTAGATGCTTATTTTCTGTGAGGAAAGTTCTAGTAACACATAGAATCACCCATCTTCTGTTTCTTGTATTATTTTAATTCTGACTTCTTTGTTTCTTCACTTCTTCATATAATTTTTTATTTTTGTTTTCTTATTTCATTATAATTCCATTCCCACAACATTTTTCTGATCTAATATTCTTCCAAAATTACTGTGCGTTCTTCCAATTAAAGCCTCTGTAGAATATTCATTTGGAAAACATTGCTTCCACCTCTAGAAATTCTCCCTTTTGTTTTGGACTCTGATATTCTGAAACTGTCTCTCCAAAGATTATTTTTTTTCTCCAGAATGGAATTTTTTTTAATGTATTTTTTTCTAAAAATATTCAAATGATTCAGAAGTTAACAAAGTAGAAAATGTAAATTATAATACTAATCCTCACACTTTTCTTTTTAAACAAAAATCTCTGAGGTTCCGATGATCACTGGAATAAAAACCAGTTCTTTATTTTCACTGCCTTTGGCCTCTGTTGTCTTTAGTGTCTTTGATTACCCTCTTAGACAGTTACAGTTAGCATCTTTACCAGTTTGCTCTGATTTTTCTTCTTGATTGCTTCTTCAGTCTTTTCTTTCAAGACTGAATTTTCAATTGGACCTCTTCCTATTTTATTTTATTTTATTTTATTTTATTTTTGAGACGGAGTTTTGCTCTTGTTACCCAGGCTGGAGTGCAATGGCGCGATCTCGGCTCACTGCAACCTCCGCCTCCTGGGTTCAGGCAATTCTCCTGCCTCAGCCTCCTGAATAGCTGGGATTACAGGCACGCGCCACCATGCCCAGCTAATTTTTTGTATTTTTAGTAGAGACGGGGTTTCACCACGTTGACCAGGATGTTCTCGATCTCTTGACCTCGTGATCCACCCGCCTCGGCCTCCCAAAGTGCTGGGATTACAGCCTCTTCCTATTTTATCTCTTTTTGCTCCTTCTCCTCTCCTTTTTAGCTTTCCCAAATTCCTGAAGTAGTACTGTAAAAATTCCCAAGATATTTTATGAGAGAGACACTTTCCTGTACTAGTACTAAGAATTTTGAATGGGTATAACTTCACTGGGATACAGTTTTGGAACTTGCATCAGGCTTTATATTTGTTTATGTTATTTATAATTGATCATAAAGAAATCTGAATTTTAGATATACATCTGTACAAAAATGTTAATCATCACTTTATTTGTAATTGTGAAAAACTGGAAACTAATGTCCATAATAGGGCAGAAGTTATTTATGTAGTAGCCATGGATGGAATTTTGTGTAGCCATTAAAGATTTTACAAAGAGATTTTTAATGATGTGAGAAGGTGCAAATACTAAGGGAATAAAAAGTGTGATTAAATTGTATAAATAGCTTGATCTTCATTCATTAAATTTAATATGTATATTGTGTGTTTATGTGATGTCAATGTAAGTGAATACATGAGTGGAAGAGAGTACTCCTAAATATTCAGAGTGACTTTCTTGATGGGACTGTCAATTTTTTGTTATTTCCTTTTTGCCCTTAAGAGCATGGATAACTTTCATAACCATAATATACTTTATTTTCAAAAGATATTTAGGATTTGATAGTATCATTAACAAAAATTACTAATAAAGGTTTGTATTATGATTCAGATAGGCACTAGATATTGCATGGTTACAACCATGTTCAAATTTTATTGTTGGTAAAGATGACTACTAAATATGAGATTTAATGAACAAACCTTGCTCATTTTGCAATTTTCGGTGTTTTTCCATTATAAGGCATATATATATGTATATTGATTATAAAAAAAACTGTGATGGTGTTTAAAGCAAAAATATGCTCTTTTTTTTTTTGTTGTTTTAAACAGAGTAGGCTCATCCTGTATAGTATTTGCAGTTTGCTTTTTTAACTTCATATCATCTTCTCTTAACTTGAAGACCATTGCATCTAAACATATATGGGTTTAGAAGAAGCAAAAATTTGCTTTTGTTGACCTTACTTTCTCTGTCAATGAAATTCATAATTGAAAATAGACCCTTTTCAGAACAGATCTAAAGAAAGATAACAAAAAATAAGAAATTACAGTTGTTTATTTCTTAAAATCTTTCTGTATTTGTATTTCTGATTTTTTTCTTTGATTTTTGGTACTGTATTTTTATTATATAATAGGCACAGGTTCAGTATCAACAGCAGCATGAACAACAGAAAAAAGATTTAGAAACCCTCCATCAGCAAAACATCCAGCAGCTGCAACACAGACTATCTGATTTAGAAGCAGCTAATAAAGACCTAACTGAAAGAAAATATAAAGGAGACTCCACTATTAGGGAACTTAAAGCAAAACTTTCTGGTGTTGAAGAGGTATTGAATGTTGTTTTTTTTTCTCCCCCAGTTTAAAAGAACGTTTTCATTTGGTTATTTTAGTTTGGTTACTTGTGTAGGTGGTGTTCCTCTGGATGCTCCGTAGAGTTCTCTTGTGTTAGGGTAATCCATTCAGACAATGCAAAGAAAATTGAGAATTTGAAATTTGATAAAAAGCTTAATTCATAACAGAACTGAGGTAACCTTGAATATTTTTAGTTAGGGTCTTGAGAACAGATTACTGGCACAGCTGTCAGATTTTTCAATGTGTTTTTAATAGTAACATAGCACTTTTATCTAATAGGGTACTGTATTGACAGGGCTGGGTTTTTTTTCTTTAGCCTACTTAACGTATATCAAACAATTATGAAATTTAGTGTCTAGTCATAATAACGATAACAGTAATAGTAAAGATAATAGTTAATGCTTACTGAGCATTTTCTATGTGATAGGCACTGCTTGCAGTGCTTTACATTTATTAACTCATTTTATTGTTATAACAATACTTTTAAGGTAGGAACTATTATTATCCTCATTTTATAGTTGATGAAACTAAGGGACAGAAAGGTTAATTGCCTAAGGTCACATAGCCAGTGAGTGGGAGAACAAGGATTGGAACTCATCTGTTGTTTGCCTGTCCTTAGTACTGCCATGTTCTTTCAGCCAACGGAGAAATTTTTATTTTATTTTATTTAAGTTCCGGGATACATGTGCAGAATGTGCAGGTCTGATACATAAGTAAACATGTGCCATGGTGGTTTGCTGCACCTATCAGCTCATTACCTAGGTATTAAATCTCACAGAAATTTTTAAAACCTTGCTATAGTGCCATGTTTGTTGTTGTTTTCACATTGATTACAGGCTTCTTTGTAGCATTATTATACATTATTGTCATATGAATTATTAGAAAACATATGTAGATTATTTTTGTCTATATTTAAATACCAAAGTTACCAATGTTATTCTAGCTCACAAGACTTCTGACTCTATTTTACCAGTCTCATGCTTAAAAGCTCTAAAGCCTGACCAAGTTTGTTGAGATCCCCATATGGTTCTGCCCCCAACAATGGATGTATTTAGTTTTTCCTTCATACACCCTTGACACTAGTTGTAAAGCATTTGAAACTTCATGGTTTCAAAATTGGTAGTCTAAATTGGTAATCTAAATGCTTCATTATAATGCTCTGATTTCATCTGTCTCAGCCCTGGAACTGGCCATTATATAAACAGAACTTCATTATGTTGATTTGATCTACTAAAAATATTTTATATGATCTAATATATATATAGATATTTTATATGTTGATTTGATCTAAAAATATTTTATATGATCTAATATATATATGATCTAATAAAAATATTTCCTCCAAGATTTGCATAAGACTTGCAAATTGTTAGTTCTTGGCGCTTTCTTTTTTTTTTTTTTTAAACTGCTGAGTATTCAGTTACCAGTTACCTATTTTAAGTTATACTTTTTAGGCATTAGTGCCCTAAAAATAACAATTGCTACCATTTATTAAGTTTTACTATGTGCCAGCCAAAATGCTAGTCAATTTGCATAAGGATTTTTATGAAGATTAAATGAAATAATTTATTAAGTATTTGTTATCATTTCCATTTTACAAATGAAGCAACTGAGATTTAGGGAGTTTCAGTAATTACCAAGATCACATAGTAGAAGAACCAGGATTTGAATTTTGTTTGATACTAAAGTTTACGCTCCTAAAATCACTGTAGTAATAATACTATATAATTATTTCTGGAAACTTTTGTTAAGGACCAAAACTATCTAGAAACACCAGCATTTGGGTTGGTATTAGCTGACTGGGAAGAGATCTATATTAGATTTTTAAAATATCTATTTTTAATAACAATTATATTTTGCTTTAAAGAGTTAACAGAGACATCCAGAAATGTTAACATTTATTGACATGGAAAGATATTTGTAATATGTGAACAAAGTAGATTATAAACTGCAGAGTATCAGCCTTTAAAAAAACAATCTGTACATGTAAGCAACAAAGAAAAATGTTAATTCTAGATTGTCACTCTCATCCTTGGTTACCCTTAGAATCGGTTGGGGTGACCTCAGAAAATTATTGTTAAAAGTTTTAAAGTTATGGTTAATTTATTCATAAATTAGAATTATTTTATTTTCTCTTGACATGATTGAATCAGATAGTAGACTATTTTACAGTTATATTTCGGATGTATGCTACTATACCATTAGAAAGACTTTCATGTTTTTAAAAAAACTGTACTAAAACTTTAAAATTATTAAATACATTTTTTATATGTTAGACATCTTAATTACAAATAACCAGGTAAGACAACTTTCCTTTTTCATAATACATAATTTCTTTCTTTTCCCACTCTAGGACCTGCAGCGGACTAAGCAAGAGGTCCTCTCTTTGCGAAGAGAGAATTCTACATTAGATGCTGAATGCCATGAGAAAGAAAAGCATATTAATCAGCTACAAACAAAAGTAGCAGTTTTAGAACAGGAAATCAAGGATAAGGACCAGCTTGTTTTAAGAACAAAAGAAGCATTTGATACACTCCAGGAACAAAAGGTCTACTTTTAAATTTTTCTCAGAAATTGATGATTATATTTATAAATAAACACAAATGCCCTAATTATGCATGTTTTTAAAAAATATATCAGGTGGTTTTAGAAGAAAATGGTGAGAAAAATCAAGTACAACTAGGAAAGCTTGAAGCTACAATAAAATCATTATCTGCAGAACTTCTGAAGGTTTGTTTTAAAAATTTTACGGAATATTAATATTTCATTAGATTATGTGGAAATATACATATGAAGCTCTTTTATAGGCAAATGAAATTATCAAGAAATTACAAGGGGATCTGAAAACTTTAATGGGTAAGTTGAAATTGAAGAATACAGTTACTATTCAGCAAGAAAAACTCTTGGCTGAGAAGGAGGAAAAATTACAAAAGGAGCAAAAGGAGTTACAAGATGTCGGGCAGTCTCTTCGAATTAAAGAGCAAGAGGTAGTGAATATTTTATATTTTTCTATTGTAACTATATTTTTTCCTCATGTATTTTAATAATTTCTGCTTTGTTGCATTGATGAATGGCTTTGGCCTTTTTTTTTTTCAACCAAAGAACATGACTGGATTCAACAGGTGTTAATCTGTTTTAGTTTGGAAAGTTAGTTATCATGATTCAAATACCTTGATTGCTTATATATGTATATGTTTGTATACACATGTAAATATTTTATTACATAATTAAGCTAATTCCTTTATTATTTAATATATTGGTAGTAACCATTTATTTAGTTAATACATTTCTTCAGTTTTTATTTTACTTTTATTTTGCTTGACTTATGAGGATTGATATATTGCAGGTATGCAAATTACAAGAACAGTTAGAAGCTACAGTTAAAAAACTTGAAGAAAGCAAACAACTTCTAAAAAATAATGAAAAGTGTAAGTATGTTACACGTTTATGTAAATGAAGTCTGTGGTTTTATTCTTTTATTTTTTTGAGACCAGGTCTCACTCTGTCATCTAGGCTGGAGTGCAGTGGTACGATCTCTGCTCACTGCAGCCTCCACCACTTTGGCTCAAGTTGCCCTCCTGCTGCACCCCCTCAAGTAGCTGGGACTACAGGTGTGCACCACCACACCCAGCTAATTTTGTGGGGTTTTTTTTTTTTTTTTGTAGAGGTGAGGTTTTATCATGTTGTCCAGGCTGGTCTCAAACTCCTGAGCTCAAGTGATCCACCTGCCTCAGCCTCCCAGAATGCTATGTCTAGGTTTACAGATATGAGCCATTCTGCTTATACATAGTTTCATTCTGAACCCAAAAATTTTGTTTGAATTCATAAAAGCCTAAGTATTATAAATCTAGTTATTGTCTAATATATAATTAATTTCTGTTTTAAATATACTGTCTTAATATCTTTGCTAAGTTTATATTATCTTCCCAGTAAAACAGTTATGTTTATATAGCAAGCCATATCCTATATGCCAGTAACCCACAATTAAAATTGTTGAAAATGTTGACTGTAATTTATTATTGAAATTCTTCACTACTCCTTTTCTATTTAATACTCCTTTTCTTAATTGCTGTGTTTACCTAATAAAAACAGTATGAATTGTTTGAAACCAAAACATAAAATTAAGATTTTAACTAACATTTTCTCAGTTTATACTACTGAGTATGATACATAAGACTGCAAATTTTAAATAAACCATAAGATATTCTAAAAGTGAAAGCTTTCACAGAGTTGCTTGACTAGCAGAAATAAGTGCTTTGAAGAGTAACAGAATAAGGAGTCCTATGTAGCAGTTTAAAAAATAAGAAACTTTAATAACAAAAATTTAGGTGAACCTGTATTGCTCTCCTGTGATGTCAGGTAGTGGTAAAGTTAAAATTAAGGAAATCTTAATGTAATTTTTAAATGTTTAAGATGATTAGAAAAATAAAACAGTGAAAATTCTTTACCTTGTTTCTTGTTCTTTTACTTAAGTAATCACATGGTTAAATAAAGAACTAAATGAAAATCAGCTAGTGAGAAAGCAAGATGTATTGGGACCTTCTACTACTACGCCTGCCCATTCTAGCAGCAATGCAATCAGAAGTGGAATTTCTCCTAACCTGAATATGGTAAGATTTAAGACAAGATATGAGTGATGTTAGTGAATTTCCTGAAACAAAAATATTCCCAGATTGTTAGGAAATTTCCATTATTTAAGGTGCAGTGGAGTCCTATGGTTATTAGCACTGAAATAAGAGTTTAAGTTGCACCTAGAAGTGGAACAAAGACACATTTACTCTAAACAAAGATGCTGAGTTTCAAGGGCACACTTCTTTGTAAGACTTGACTGGATATCAGAATCTTTCAGCGATAACTAAAGTAATACCAACTATACTGAAAAACTTTAAAACACACGTAAAACATTTAGGAGACTTCAAGAAGAGAGAATTGAGGGTTTAGGCTTAAGCAGAAACTGAATTCTAGCAGAAAAAAAGAAAGTAAAAAAGAAAAAAGTTCTATAAGCAGGCTTGTTATCTCTAGATTCTATAAGAAACTGGTTATAAGATAGAAGGTTTCCAGCTTCCAGGACCAGATTTTTTTCTTTTTTGAGACAGAGCCTCGCTCTGTTGCCCAGGCTGGAGTGCAGTGGCAGGATCATAGCTCATGGCAGCCTTGACCTCCTGGGCTGAAGAAATCTTCTTGCATCAGCCTTCTGTGTAGATGGAACTAAAGGCATGTGCCACCACACCTAGCTAATTTTTGATTTTTTTTGTAGAGATTAGGTCCCACTATGTTGCCTAGGTTGGCCTTCCAACTCCTGGGCTCAAGCAGTCTTCTCACATCGGTCTCCCAAAGTGCTGAGATTATAGTTGTGAGCCCCTGAGCCCAGCTCTGCTTTTTTTTTTTCCCCCCTGAGAAAAAAGGGAGGCTGGGCGTGATGGCTTATGCCTGTAATCCCAGCACTTTGGGAAGTCAAGGTGGGTGACTTACCTTAGGTCAGGAGGTCAAGACCAGCCTGTTCAACGTGGTGAAACCCTACCTCTACTAAAAATACAAAAATTAGTTGGGCTGAAGCAGTGCATGCCTATAATAGGAGACTGAGGCAGAAGAACCGCTTAAACCCAGGAGGCAGAGGTTGCAGTGAGCAAAGATCATGCCACTGCACTCCAGCCTGGGTGACAGAGTGAGACTCTGTCTCAAAAAAAAAAAAAAAGAAAAGCAGCTTCTTACATGCAGAGGTGCTTGTTTGGTACTATCAGGTGGTTAGCCCTAGGTGCTGCTAGGAGCTTACCTGGCATCCACACAGGCCTTAGGGCTCTCCTGTTGAACACAACAATTTCACAGAATATTTACATTAGACAAGGTTACTCTGTGACTGTGTCAGTACAAAAACAGAACTATTTCATAGTCATATCTGAACACAGACAAAAATATGAACATTGTTAAATCACAAATATGGCCCATAAGCATCCTTTTATCCTGGCTAACATGAACGGCTGCTGCCTCTTTAATTACAGCTTTGGCCTTAATACGTTATTCCTGCCTTATTAGACAGGATTTATTCAAATACCCAGTCATACATTTATCCCCATTTCCCAGTAACTTCCAATCTATAGCAAAGCACCACTTAAACTTTTTCTTAAATCACCTAACGTGCTTAAATCCAATAAATAAATCTCTTTTAATACCCACTTTTGGAGATACTCATGTTTCTTCATGGTGTGCAGTTTCCCTTGTTGCAAGGAGCAATAAATGCAGCGTGTATATCTATCTATACATGTGTTCCTGGTGGTCTTTGGCTGGAGGGTATTGGCAGAAGGTTTAAAAATCAGATGTGTAATTGAATTTTTAATCTAATCTACTGTGGTAAGTCATTGGCTCTGTTTAGGCAGTGAGCAAGGTGAACCTACTGGGTAGTTACGTACACACACAGGTGCCAAGTATCTCAAAATCCAAACTCCTGGATTTGGTCACAAGATCTTCCACCTACTAGAGTACTGGGTGTCTAAAAGGGGAATGACTGCTGTTAAACTGGAGAAAGGTACAGAAAGAAGTGCCTGGGGCTGAATTACAAAGTTAAAATAATTTTTTGACTGGCTTAACCTTGAATGACGGATGATAGCTGTGTAAAAGGTGTTTTTATTGTGTATCCATTGGTGTGCACAAATGCTTCTCAAGATTTGTGTTCCAATTGGCCTCTTAGAATAAAAATAAACTTTGTTTTCATAACGTTTGATAATGTATGGTGCCAGTATATTGAAAATTAGTGGCAAAATCAATTATTGTCTCAATTAGTTCATTTTAAAACACTGATCTTGTTGTTACTCAGCTGACAGAAAATTATTTTTATTTTATCTCTGATTGGCCTATTGATCTCCAGACTCCCCTGTTCTCCCCTTTTTAAAGAGACTTAGAGTGAACAAGTTGGTTCAGAAGCTTGGCTTTAACTAACTACAAAGGCAGGCCCAGTAGTTTGTTTTATCCAAGCTTGCACAGCTACTTTGAAATGGTTCAAAGTTACCTCAGCCTCATGGTAGATAATAAAGCAGAGTTTTGTGGTGTTGTGATAAACAAGACTAGCCTCTGAGATAGAGCTCTTAATTATTAGTTATTATAACAGATGCTAATGTCTCCTGATCAGCAAATACTACTTACATTTATTTTTTCATGTTTAATCATCTTTGTTTTTATTTTTAGGTTGATGGTAGACTGACTTACCCAACTTGTGGGATTGGTTATCCTGTCTCCTCTGCATTTGCATTCCAGAAAACCTTCCCTCATTCGATATCAGCCAAAAATACCAGCCACCCTGGTTCAGGAACAAAGGTAGCGAAATTAACTAATACTTGTTCTGGAAAATATATAGCAACTTATTAGCGTACAAACATTTTGCATCTTTTAAAGGTTCATTTGTTCTTTTAGATATTCAGTAATGTATTAGATAAATACATTAGCAGTAGTAGGTAGTGTATTAAATACATTACTGAATATCTAATATCTGTGTCTACAGGAAATATATGCACTATATATTTCTTCAGTCACTGTAATTTATAAAATAAATTACATATACAGATATATATGTACTCTACATTTCTTGAGTCACTGTAATTTATAAAATCTTGACATCAATCTATTTCAACCTTATTACCACACAACCTTTTTTTTTTTTTTTTAAGGCAGTCTCCCTCTGTTGTCCAGGCTAAAGTGCAGTGGTACGATCTCAGCTCACTGCACCCTCTGCCTCCTGGGTTCAAACGATTCTCTTGCCTCAACCTCCTGAGTAGCTGGGATTACAGGTGTAACCAACCACACCTGGCTAATTTGTGTTTTTAGTAGAGGTGGGGTTTTACCATGTTGGCTAGGCTGGTCTCAAATTCCTGGCCTTAAGTGATCCGCCTGCCTTGGCCTCCCAAAGTGCTAAGATTGCAGGCCTGAGCCACCATGCCTGACCAGTCTTTCCATTTTTATTCTTCTACTTGTATCTCCTACAACTCTCAAGCCTAACTAGGATTTCTGACTTCATATTGTTGGAGTCTTAGCTATGATTTGGAGTCCATTGCTAGAATTTAAAGGTCTGATAGGGCAGCCTTAAATCAAATTCTACAATTTAGCTCTGACATTATCCCAGATAAGATATGACTAGCAATCGCTCCAATCCTTGGTTTATTTGTTAAGGCTTTCTTCCACCCACTTGAGTTCTTTTTTTTTTTTTTTTTAATCATTTTTATTATTGTCTTAGATTTATATATTTAATATGTATTATAATTTTGTTTTCACAATAGTTTAATTTACCTCGATCAGTCACTTCTTTTATTTTCATTGCTAACTTCAGGTTCAGATTTTTTTCTTAAATAATGAGACAAACATTTATGAAAAAATATTTTATAAAAAATAAAATTGGCTCAATATGGTGGTTTACCCCTGTTATCCCAACACTTTGGGAGGCTGAGGTGGGTGGATCACAAGGTTAGGAGATCGAGACCATCCTGGCTAACATGGTGAAACCCCCATCTCTATTAAAATACAAAAAATTGGCGTGGTACCATGCGCCTGTAGTCCCAGCTTCTCAGGCGATTAAGGCAGGGGGATCAGTTGAACTGGGAGGCAGAGGTTGTAGTGTGCCAAGATTGCACCACTGCACTCCAGCCTGGCAACAGAGCAAGACTCTCTCTCAAAAAAAAAAAAAGATAAAATTGAGGACTTTGAAACTGGTATTATAAACTTTATCAAATTAGGTCTGGGTTACTCTAAAAATAAATAGGCTGTGTTGCTTAAGAATGTGCTCTCTTTAGCCATAGCCTTATTATCACCAGGAGCTATGGAGAATTCTCAATGAAATGAGAATTAAGCCTGAGTTCTTATGCCTGGAATACTGTTATGTAACAAGTACTTAGATGCATGTAATTGGCTCTTCTTGCATTGCTTATTAAGGATAATTAAATAAGTGCATTCAAAGGAATGCTATTTTATTATCAATATCAGAATACTTGAGTGTGGTTGCATCTTGGGATCTTTTTTTCTTTAGAATTATGAGTGAATTCACAGTTGTTTTTTTATTTTAAACAACTTTCCAGGAATATATATGTGTATATATACAATATATATATACAGTATATATGTATATACGTATATATGCACGTATACACGTATATATATTGTCCAAAATGAGGACAGGTGGTACTAGAGACAACACGTATATATATTGTCCAAAATGAGGACAGGTGGTACTAGAGACAGTTGTCTACTTAGTAGCACAAAGGTGACTTATAAAATAGTAACACTCTTATAGGTTTTGTGGAATTAGAGGAATCATTGTAATAAATATGTTCTTAAATACAGGAGCAAGACTTTCAGTGTTTCTTACATCAGTGATCTCCGTATTCTTTTGATAATGTATCCTTAACAGGGGGAAAAAAACCTAAAATAAACAAAACATTTTGCGCTCTCCTCTCAAATACATTAATGTTTATTATTTTTTACTCTCATCTCAAATACATTGTTTATTTATGCATATGCTACTGAAATACTATATACTGTATAATTATTGATTAAGAAAGTGGAATCTGATGTTAGGATTTAAAACCTGCCTCTATCAACATGAAGTTGATCAAGCCACCGAACAACAAACAACAGTCAACTCTTACACTTCAGTATCTCCACTTGTCTACCTTACTAGATTATTGAGTTAAGTAAATTAATGCTTAGAATAGTACCTGATACATAATAAATGCTTCATAAATGTTATGTATTATTAATAAAATATATTCAAAAATAGAAATTAAGGAATGAGACTAAAAATGGATGTAAATGAAAGTTGTAAGAGTTTCTTCTCAGACTCAGTGAATGGTCCTAATTACAGCCTACTTTGTCCTCTCAAACTCAAAGGTCATCATTGATCTAGGTAGTTTTGTGCTAGCAGCTATGTTGATTAAAACATGTACTTTTGAATTGCAATTTTTAAAAATCACCCTTTTATTGTGTGACATTGAACCTGTGATATACCTGATATCTTAAAACGTTACTGTGAAGATTGAATACATTCAAGTAGATATTAACTGGGAATGTAAAATAACATGAGAAATTCGGCAAGAAACAAAATAATGCTGAAAGAATATGTCAGGATATTTAACAAGATTGTGCTATTCTGACAAATAGAACAAATACTTGATAATTTTAAAGCAAGATAGACAAAACTACTTGTTTTTTCTCTTTTACTTTTGAAGACAATGATAGCCAAAAATTTATTCATTGAACAAGTATTTAATGAATGTCTATCTGCTATGGCCAAGCATAGTTCTAGTTGGAGGAGATCACGGCAGGGAACAAGACAAACCCCCTGACACTATGGTGCTTAACATTTTGTGGTGAAACACCATTAGATAGTAAATTGTAATGTCTTTAAAACTAAACTGTTTATTCATTCATTCATTTATTCATTTATTTTTGTGACAGAGTCTCACTCTGTCACCCAGGCTGGAGTGCAGTGGCATGATCTTAGTTCGCTGCAACCTCCGCTTCCCAGGTTCAAGTGATTCTCATGCCTCAGCCTCCTGAGTAGCTGAGATTACAAGTGTGTGCTGCCACACCTGGCTAATATTTGTATTTTTAGTAGAGATGGGGTTTCACCATGTTGTTTAGAATGATCTCTAACTCCTGACCTCAAGTGACGCACCTGCCTTGGCCTCCCAAGTGCTGGGATTACAGGTGTGAACCACCTTGCCCATCTTGGGTTAAATTCTTGATTTTCAAGGTCAGACTTTCATCAAGGAGATTATGAAGTATGTGGTTTTCTGCAATGAGAAGGGAGCCAGATGATTGATGTATTCATCTTTTTTTTTTTTTTAATCTGGTTGAAAGGCTTAGGAAGACAATTCTTTTTATTGTTAAGGACCAAGAAACAAAGTCTGGAAATGCCATACACAGTGGTCATGAGGAGACACAATAATACACAGCATTATTTTGAGTAAGCTCCAGTTTTTCATTCTAACACTTGAACTCTGGAGAGACAGCCATCCTTTTTCACTGAACCAGCAACAGAATGGAAATGTGACTCAGTTTATCAGTTCCCACAGGGTGGGCAGAGCAGGAATCTCTGTTAAGCTGGTTTTGGGAGCCCTCGTCCCAAACACAGAGTGGTTGCTGAAAGTGGTCCCTGGCATCCACTCACGGTGGCTGGTAGCTGATCCTGGGCTCCCTGGGTCCTAGGCATCTCGTGATTCTCAGTGATGAACTTGTCAGTTGATAACAGCCAATGCGGACCTGTTGAAAAATTACTCTGAATTACTCTAAGATCTCTTTTGGCTTTATTCTCTAGGGTTTGAGTTTCTATAGGAACCTTTACATTTTTATTTTCTCTGAAGGAATCTCTTATCCTCCTGCCAGCATACATTCTATAATTGTAGGTGCTGAAATGCTTGTTTTCTCTGTTTCATCCAGTACAGATCTAACATACATGTGTGACCGGGGGCTCCCCAACGCCTTGTTGCCTCAATTTCTTTATCTTGTTGGTGTTTGGCCTGCATATTCAGAGACAGATTTTGTCTGCAGACAGCATTATTCAGTTTGATTGACCATTTAATTCACCTAGATGGGTTCTACATTTTTTGTTTATTTGGTAGTAACTGTTTTTAAACATAGATAATGTGTAAGTATGAGAAGCTTCCAGAGGTACAAAAGGATGTATCTAACAGTCCCTACTGTGGTTCCCAGTTCTCTTCTCAGAGAAAAATACTATTAGGAATTTCTTGTGAGATATTCCAGAAATATTCAAAGCATATATAAGACCATATGTATGTGCATATATAGGTATGTATGTTCAAATATATGAGTTTTTATATATAAGCATAAATAGTATTGTGCATTGTTCTGTGACTTGCTTTTTTCATTTAATGGTGTTATGGAATAGGTAACTGCAGTGTATCAGAATGTTAGTTTTTGTTTCTTTTTAATGACTTCATAGTGTATATGGATGTACTATAATTAACTAATACTCAGTTTATGGATGATTAGGTTTTTTTCGATCCAGATGCTTATACAGTGCTCCAGCAAATATCTTTGTACATGCATCTTGGTGGCCTGGTCCAAATGGATTTATAGGATACATCGTTAGAAGTAACTGTGTCAAGGGCATTTTTGCATATCTGGTGACTAAAATCGTACCTTAGTGTGATGTTAATTAACGTTTTCTTGATTATTAAGGTGAGAAACATCTTTTTATATATTTATAGGTTATATTTCTTATTCTGTAAAACTCCTGTTTGTTTACTTTACTAGTTTTTGTTTTCGTTTTTCATTTGTTTGTTTAGCAATAGAAATCTCCCTGTGTT